GCCTGAAAATTGCGGGTTAATGACTGCTGCCCCCTATGACTGGTGGGTGAAAGGGGATGCCCTCCATCATTTCGCCGAGCAGATAGAAATCTGCTACGGCATAATGGAGGAAGATGGGTATTGGTGCCAAATGCCCGTAGCTAAAGATAGAATTCACAGGCCTCCACTTGGTTATCTAGGCGTATACACTAGGCGGCTGCAATTTTGCCTTAGGTTTCCTCTCCACCCCTTTGTAATCCAGGTGCTGAACGGGTACAACATTTCTTTGTGCCAATTAACCCCGGTCAGCATCCGAAGAGTTATGACATTTCTATGGGTCAGTCTCTTTTACGGATTTCAACCAAGCATCCATGTCTTTAGAAAGTTGCACAAATTAGTGCCGAACCAGCAGTCCAATGAGAACCATGGACCTGGGTGGCGGAGAATAGAGTCCCGGAGGGGTATTTGACCACTTAGACGAACGACACTTCGGACAAGGAATGGAGAGGTCAATGGATTTAGGTTCGGGCTCCTGCCGAGTAGGACCATCCGAACTATTATGGGGGGCCGAGGCATTTGAGAATGCCAGATCCGAAAATGAGTATCCTCGGCCTCGATGATTTTTCTGCCGAGGAAGAGGAGTTGCTGAAACTCTTCAAGAGAGAGCCAAACGCGAGGGGTGCTGGCCGAACAAACGGGTTGCCAGAGACCTGGCTCCCTTGCTACCATTATATCTTCAAAGAGAAGGTACTGGCTGCTGTCGGCCTCAACCGAAAGTTTCAAGACGGTGAGAACCTCGGGGCCAAAAGTCTTTACTTAGCTTATTTTTCTTCTGTTAAAGTCTTATTTCTTCATGCAGAATAACCCTTTGTTTTCTTTGTGGTTTTTCAGTGCTGCACGAAGGAAATTGCGGCTTGGAATACAACCGGCTTGGGATCAACGCAGCTTGGAAGGTGACAAGGCGTGACCTTGCTATCACCCCTTTATCTGCTAGGGCTCCCGCACCGCGCCCTTCTCTGCTAGAAATCGTTAAACCAGCTGAGTATTCCGCTCAGAAGCCGTGGTATCTGAAGAGGGACCCGTTCTTTTTGCTGGGCCCCGAAGAACAAATTGTTGCAGCTGCAGCTGCTGTTAAGGCTGGGGTTTTTGCTGTCAACTCCGAGCACAACGCTGAGCCGTCAACATTTGTTGCTGGGTTGAACGTGCTCACCGCTTCAGACGAATAGTTGCTAAGGAGTTCGGTAAGCTTTTTAAGTGCTTTTGAACTTTCATGTTTTGACTTAGAATTTCGCTTGAACCTTCAACTTGTGAAATGATTCGGCTGACTTACTCTGCCTACCCAGACTTTTTGCCTTGTGAAATTCGCCTAAGTATTAAGCTTCGGCTAATGGGCCTCTCTCTCTCTATTGTTGTTGTTTGCTTCTTTGCTGCTTTATTCTCTTTGCTTAGACTTTCCCTTTTCGTGAAAATTGTCCAAGTGTCAAGTCTCGGCTTTGAAAGAGTTTGCCTTATTAATTTTTTTTTTATTGATGATATTACTAATATCACCCTTTATCCCCCTTGTTTTTTCTACTACCGTTTGACAAAGAAGAAGAAAACAAGAAGGACACTTAGAAAGGTAAAACCTCTTCTTCGGACGACTCTTCAGACAAAGAGATGGCAGATCCTGGAAGGAGGAGGTTGAGAAGAGTCGTTGTTGATCCGGGAGAATTCCCGATTTCTGAGCCTGTAAGTAAGAAACCTCGGCTGGCCGAGACCCAGGCCGAGGTAATTAAGGAAAAGACTCCCCCTCCTCCTGAGCATCAGGAGGAAGAAGTGCAGAAAAGGAATCCTCCTGTCCTAACAGAGTCTCCTCGGCATACGGCCGAGGATTTCACAGCTGAAGTCCAGAGAGAAGTTGATGCATTCATCGTGCAGCACTCCGAGGACGATGATGTGCAAATTTTGTCGGGGAGACCCGATGATTTCAAGGAGGCAGATGAAAGAGTTGAGGGTCCTAGAGCGTCTGACATTCCATCATCTGCTGGGCATTCTTTCAAAACCTTTCAATTCAGAGAGATGGGGTTTGAGGTTACCCCAATGGTAGTAGTCCCTGAAGCTATCAGGGATAGCTTGCACCTTCACTGAGGCTCATCCATTGAGCTCTTTGGTGACAAATTATTAGGGATTTTTATTTAGTTTGCTTGCAGGGCAAGTAGGTTAGATTTATTTTTCCTATATATATTTGATACATGTCAAAAATTATAGTTAGACGTTTATGAAATAAAAATCCGATTGTTGAGTTTTAACTCGAAGAGAACTTTGTTAAGTTTCGAACTAATTGTTAACTAGGGTTTTAGGATCGTTGCTTCTAAGATCAAACATAGAAGTCGTTGCCTTCTAAGACTATCCTTCAAATTTCCACCATTAAAATTACTCAAATCCTTCCACTAAATATAAACTGTCATAATACGCATCAGTCACAACGGGTTACGGGTTAGAACGTTTCTGGTTTATTGGATTTTTACCGGGGTTAAACAGTTTTCGGCTTAAAATGGGTCGGGTTACTATCGGGTTCGAATGTAATCGGTTTGGGTTGCTTTCGGTTTCGGGTTGTAATGGTTTGGTTTGATAACGGGTCGGCTCATTAAACGGTTTGCACTAATTCGGTTTAGTTCAGTTTCGGGTTGGAAAAAATTGGGTCGGGTTGGTTTTCGGTTTTCAGAAAACGGGTTTTTTACGGTTCAGTTCCTTTTCAGATCGGTTCGAAACAGTCGGGTTTAATGGTTCGGCTTAGAAACTGACAGCTCTAATTTAAACAATTCAGGAAATGTTCATTTAAATTATTTACCTTTTCCTTTTTATTCTTACTTTGTAAATTATTTGACATAGAATTAGAGGTGATCATTAGGCAGGTCGGGCCGAATCTAAAAAATTATGCCCACTTCTCGAGTCGGAATTTTTGTGCCCAAACCCGCCCAAAATGGTCAGGCCGTGCGGGCTTTTCGGGCCATTTTCGTGCCGGATATAAAAAATCAACTAAATATGCATAAAAACACATTCCCAAACCCGCCCCAGAATAATTAAATTTTTGGGCCGAGCCGAGCCTAACCCGATTTCGGGCCAAAAAAATCTGCCCAAAATCGGGCCGGGCTAACTTTTATCACCTCTACGTTGAATTAATAATATTTGAGTTTACAAGAATGAGTAATTATAACTTTGATGGATCTAATAAAATGAGAAGGATTCAAAAGGAAAAATGGAAAAGAATAATATCACCTTTGTCACTTCTGCTCAAAATAATCGCACCTTTGATTAATCTGGTAATAATTCCACCTTTAACCCCCATCTTCCCAAAATAGTCCCATTTACCTATAACCTGTTCAACAAGTTAATTCTTTTTATTTTTTTTAAAATTTTTATTTTCAAATACAGCACAACCACACACACCATAACCACCACCTTCTATGGCCACCACCACACCACCATAACCACCACCCAAAAAAAAAACCCCTCTTTCCTTTCCCCGCAGCCCCACCAGACTGGCCCCGCTACCCCAAACTGTCACCCCACCTCCTGGAACACCACCCCCTCTCATCTAACCCCAAGGTCCCCACCCCATTGGATCGGCGAACCTCCTTCCCGAAAAACTCGAAACCCATGGCCGCACCTCTGAATCGAAGCTACATCCCCTCGAAACCCAAGTAAACCACACCACCACCATCTAATTCGCAGATCAAGTTTAAAAAAACCTCGACCATAATTTCTCACTCAATTATCACTACGTCCACCTTCTGAGTTTCTTCACACTTCTGTCCAAAAAAATCAATCACAGTGTCTACAAAATTGCTAATGTGAGATGAGAAGGCAATAAAAATTGATTAAGATTGTTTCGGGGCTTTCTGATGTGTCTTGCGGGAGAGTTACAATTCCAAGAATGCCCTTCGACCGCGTGTACCTGCTAAACCATGAAGACTCCGGTTGGGTGGAGCTCCGCCTCCGATGATCAAGTCAGTGATGTACGGGAGGAAGAAAGTGCGTAAAAGAGTAATTACTTCTCGCGTAATGGGAGAATTCCGCAATTAAGATTGCTCGGTTTTATTGTAAAATGTATTTATGATAGTATTGAATGCCAATTGATTGTAAGTGAATAATTTCATGCCCCATTAATGAGGACTCCCCCACTATTTATAGTGGGGAGCATTGGTTCCCCATTTAGGGTTCCTAGGACACGTGTCAGCAGGGGATTGGAGCCCTGCTGACCAATAGCCGGATGCCACGTGTCGCGCTGCCATTGGGCCACGTGGCTGGGGTAATTTTACCCCAAACATTTGCCCTCTCAGGTGCTGACGTGGTAAGGTGCCACGTGGCACCTGAGAAGAGAGCTGACAATTTTTTTTTTTTTTTTTTTTTTGAAACCCCTTCAAATTCTAACTGAAGGAAGAGGGAAAAGCAGAAGGGGAAGGGTCGCGCCCCTTCGCCTTCCGGGACAAGCCCTATAAATAGGGGAGGAAGCACACGAAGCCTCATTTACAAACTTCGTGAAATTTCTTGAATTTTGAGAGTATCCGGCATTTCAGAGCATCCGGTACTTGAAATTCAGAGCACACGGAGACTTCATTGTTTGAAGAGCAGCCGGTTTTCAGACCGCCTGTGCAGTTGTAAGCAAGCAAAAGTTTTTCGAGAGGGTACCTCAGAGAACCCAGCCGGTATTCAAACCGCCTGTGTCTTCGCAAGCATCCCCAAGAAATTTGTTGAGGTTTTCAACCCTTTACTCTAGGTACCGTTTCTATTCTTTCTTACTTTTCCATGTATTTCTGTTTGCGTCTTTTTCTTGCATTTTTGTTTACAAGTCCCATAGGTAGATGGACCCTTTATACCCGTACCCGGACCATAGTTATGAACTCAGCCGGTCAATTAGTACGGCTGAGTCTAGAACTGGATCTGCCGCCTCTGATCTTTGGAATTTCCCCTTTTCAACGCCTGTATCGACCGACTACGTGTCTGTGCAGGACACCATGGCCAGAATTAGGGGAACAACTATGGACCCCAATTACCGAGGCGGGGACTCGAACGAGTTATCGCCTGAAACTCGAGGCCCAGACGGGGAGGTTAGAGAACCATCCGGCGGTACCCCCGCCACCCCAAGCGATAGCATTCTGGGCTCCTACAACGAGGAGACCTCCCCGGCAGAGGAGGCTGAGAAGCCAAGAGCTGCCAATGATGCTCCCAACTCCCCAGCCGGCTCTGATGATGGACGGGTTGAGAGTAGTAGCTCCAGCTACTTAACCGTATCAGAAGATAGTGAGGAGGCGGAGAGGCCTTCGTGGCAAAGCCGAAACGACCCTCTCATGATCGCCGTCTCCCAAAAGGACCGCACCCTCATGCTGTCTTCCCTTCTAAACTTTATTACCAGGCGACCGCTTGGTGAGGGGTACAAGATGACCGTGCCGGGGTAGTTCGGGACGGTTGTATGGGAAGATGACCAGCCCAACGCTAACAGCTTGTTTGGATGCTACAAAGCGGCTTTCCTAGCCGGCGTCCGCTTCCCCCTTCACCACACAATTAAGGCCATACTTAGGGGGTATGGCCTAGGCATTTAGCAACTCACTCCGAATTCTTGGGTGAACGTTTTAGGGTACATTGCCGCCTGCGAGATGCAGGATCTCAACCCCAGCTGGGAGGCGTTTGCCCATATGCACTATTTGAGCCGGAGCCCAGGTGGCTGGAGGGCCTGGTATACCTTGACCACTTACCCCAAATATATGATGACCTTGGACAAGCCGTCCAAGTGGTCGGACTGGAAGAACCAGTTCTACCTGGTCAAAGCTCCGTCTGAAGAGGAGAACAAGGAGTACCGGACATACAAACGGAAGCTAGAGCTTTTGGGGCAGAAGTGCCGACTGCCCCCTGTCCCTGATACCGACCGGGTGGCCATTCTGGACTCTGGTTTCTTCGAACTGACCTCTACCTCTCTCACATCCGGAGAGATAATAAGGGTACCCAAGAACTAGGTGCCCAAACACGAATTTTTCAAGGACGAGTGTTTCTTGTCTGCCTGTGGGCTTAGCGGAATATGGAAGACCAAAGGTTACGAACCCTAGCCGGTTAATTTGTTGCCGGCTGTCCTTTTTCTCTTGATTGCAATGTAAGATTCATATTTCTGACTGGATGTATTTTCGTTTTGCAGAAGAAGCTAAGAAGATGCTACCTTCCGCCAAGACACCCGCAAGGAAGGCTTCAGATATCCGCAAGGAGAATCTGGAGAAGAAACTTGCTGCTCAGGCGGCTAAAAAGGTTAGACCGCCTGACCTTCTCTATGTGCTTGGCTTTGATGTTGCTTGGGCTAGTTATTTATCTAACCGCTTGTGGTCTTGTTTCAGGACGGTGTTATTCCCCGTTCTTTACAAAAACAGATCCGGCAAAGGCTGTCTGTTGAGGAACCGGCACTCAAGGTGCCGAAAACTGCTTCTACCGACCGGGCTACTACCGGCGGTAAATCAATAAAGACCCCAGGCGGGTCTAACACTGAGAAGGCCTTAGAGGCCACTCCAATAAGGACCGCAACCGGTCCTTCTGCTTCTGGAAGCCAAAAGGCTTCCCAAAAAGGTACAAACCCATTCGACCTCACTTTGCTCGACATACCCATGTGGGTAAAATTGACTCCTCTTCGCAGCCGGGAGATTCTCCGATTAGCTGGCTGTCCGTTGGTGGAGCGTACGCAGCATTCTCACCGTCTGTTTCTGGTGCAGATAACTCACCACACTGGCTGGACGCTGCTCAATACGCCCGAGCCATGCTGAAAGCCGTCCCCCGGGACGAGAAGGAGGCGATTCCTGGAATCAACTCCTTCAATGCCGACCGGGTGATGGTCAACCTGGCTGATGTAAGTAACTGAGTGCCCACCCGGCATATAATTTGTAATACACCCATTCGGCCTTTCAACTTATTCCGGTTGCGTTGTTGTTGCAGGCACTGCTCCGCGTGGAGGGGCTTAAGAAGGCCTACATCCGCAAACTGGAAGAGGTAAGAAGAGCCAAACATTCTGTGGATGACGCACATAGCGTTGCTCACTATTCTATGATTGTGCATGACTTAGAAACTAAAGCTATAATCATGCAACATGCCGATCAGGTCAAGTCCCTCCAACGGGCCCTCTCCGAGCAAAAGCTCAAGCTGGACAACCTCCAGGCGGCCCTGGATAACGCTGAAGACGAGCTGAAAAAGCATGAATAGCCCCTCAAGCGGCTCGACCAGGCGGAGAAGAGCAGCAAACGGCTGCAATTAGAGAATGACCGCCTGGTCAAGGAGGCTGCCGATGCTCAGCGTAATTTCCAGTCCACCCTAGAGGCTGATCAGAGCCGGCTCATCGAGGAGAATGAGCAGGACTGCCAGAATAGAATGAAGACGACGTTCTCCATCATCCACCCGGGTGCAGACTACAACGTCTGGGAGCTCGCCTATAAGTATGCAGACCTGGCCATTCTGGCTGAAGAGGAGGGCCAGCCGGGGCCCGGACCGTATGAGCAATTGGTGGAAGCCGAGTTCCAGCGAATGCAGGCGGAAGCGGCTGCTTTGGAGACGACAGTCGAGGATGAGGATCCCGGCTCCGTTCCCAACACCGACCTGACTCATCCGGAAGGGAGCCAGGCTCAGGCCGACCGGGTAACAGTGGAAGTAGAGTAGCAACGACCTCTCGGCCTGCGCGCCGTGCATTATCTTATATTAGCGCCGGAAGGATCGGATTACTATGCTATTGTCTTCTATATTGAGCACTGATATTTTCACCGGCTTTGCCGGTTTATCTTTTTGTAAACAATTTTAACATTTTCACCGGCTATGCCGGTTTTTTCTGCTTTATTTCTACCGGTAGGTCTGGTTTTGAATGAATTTGCTTCTTTTCCTTTTGCTGCTTTGGATGTCTTGAATATTGCATTTTTCTTGCTTTGATAATTTTTGCGAGGATAGCCAAGAAAACCCAGCCGACATCACCGCCGTCTGTGTCTTCGTAAGCTAGGCAAAGAAATTTGTCAAGGTAGGCAAAGAAATTTGCGAGGGTAGACAAGAGAATCCAGGCGATACCATTACCGTTTGAGTCTTCGCAAACTAGGCCAAGAAATTTGTGAAGGTAGGCAAAGAAATTTGCGAGGGTAGACAAGAGAACCCAGGCGGTACCATTACCGTCTGAGTCTTCGCAAGCAACTCTATTTTTTGCCTTGTGTAAACCATGAATGTTTTTCCGCATGACTTTTTGAATGAATGTGTTTCCGCATGACTTGTTGGGGTTCGGGTAGCTAATTGCCCCTGGATAGGAGACTGGTATAGACGAAACGGTGCCAGGCGGCTATCCATATGCTATAGCGCAAATGCTAAGGTTTTAGCCAAGTGTCAACCGTTTTTAACAATTGCCGGTTAGGTTTTTGCAAGAACACCCTTCATAGATTCTTGGCCTAACCCAGATGTTTGCCTGCCTTCCTTCTCTTAGTTGATTAGGCAGGACATTAGGTACCGGCTGTCTGTTTTGAGATCAGCCTAAAATGGTACTCGATCCAAAGAAGAGGCCGGATGCATGTTTGGGAATGCTAACCCGCAATTCTTTGGTGCTATGGATCAATCAGGCGGTCAGGGCCGCCTGATTTTTGATCACCAGAACAATTTTCCACCCAAATGGGAGATGTTCTCTTCGATGAATTCACCCGAATGGGCGTCACCGGCTGGTTCATTAAATTCCCGGGTCCGCTTGTGTTGGGCACAAGACAGGGCGCATGGGAAATAAGCAAAGGGAGCCGCTTGTGTTAAGCACAAGACATGGCGCATGTAAGCACTATGCAATAAATCTTTCTCATTAGTTGTATAGAAATATACAAAAACTATACAATTTCTAGAAGTAGTACTTTTTGAGATTATCTACATTCCAAGTTCTAGGCAGTTTTCTACCGTCTGGGGCTTCCAGGCGGTATGTGCCGTCTCGTACTTCTTCAAATATCCGGTAGGGTCCCTCCCAATTTGGAGTTAGTTTGCCTTGTTCATTGGCCCTACCAGTTGCTTCCATTTTGCGAAGCACAAAATCTCCTACTTTCAGGGGTCGTTTGTGAACCCGCTTGTTGTAGGCTCTTGTCATTCTCAGGCGGTAAATCTCATGACGCAGGGCTGCGTTGCCCCTTCGCTCTGGGAGAGCATCCAGTGCAAGTCGCATGGCTTTCTAGTTGGCTGCCTCATCATATAGCATGATGCGAAGAGTTGGCTTATAATGTTCAATGGGCAGCACCGCCTCAGCGCCGTATGTCATGAGAAATGGGGGTTCACCGGTTGCCTCTTTTTGAGTGGTCCGGATGGCCGAAAGGACATGAGGTAGTTCCTCTGCCCATAGTCCACCGACTCTTTCCACCTTCTTCTTTATACCGTCTGAGATTAGTTTATTGAAGGCCTCAACTTGACCGTTTGCCTGAGGACGGCCAACGGATGCAAAACAATGGGAGATTCCTTGATCTCCCAACCAGCTCTTGAGGACAGGCGTTTCGAGTTGAGGTCCATTATCAAAGACCATAGACATTAGAACCCCAAACCAGGTGATGACATTTCTCTAAATGAAGGAGATCACGTCTCATGTTTTTATGCCTTTGACCGCCTCTGCTTCAACCCATTTGGTGAAGTAATCTACTGCCACTAAAATGTATCGGAGACCGCCTGTGGCAGGCGTATAAGGACCCAAGATGTCCATGCCCCATTTGGCGAACAGAACCGAACTATCGATGGCTGTCAAATCAGTTGCCGGTCGATGTATCAGCCGGGCGAACTTTTGGCATTTATCACACCGTTTCACCAAATCCATGGCGTCCGCCTCAAGAGTGGGCCAAAAGTAACCCTGCCGTCTGGTTCTTCTTGCCAAGGACCTGTCGCCTATATGTGAGGCACAAAAACCCGCGTGCAGACCTTTCAGGGGTTACGCACTTTAGATACGGCTGTAGATAACCCTTCCGGACAAGTTCTCCATGATGCATGACGAAGCTCAGAACTCGCTTCTTGAGCGCCATTGCTGCTGAAGGGTCATCCGGTAAGGTACCGTCTTCCAAGTAGCCCCGGATGGGGTCCATCCAGGTGGCACTTCGGTCCAAGATACCTATGGGGTCATGATCGATGCTTCTTTTCTCAATGACTTCCCAAAAAACCGTTCTAGGTGTATCGCAGGAGGCGGATGACGCCAACTTGGAAAGGGCATCCGCCTGATTATTCTCGGACCGGGGCACCTGACTTAGATGAAATTCGTCAAGCGAAACGACCTCCTCTCTTACCGCCTGCAGGTATTTGATCATAGCCGGATGGGTGGCCTCGTAGTCACCATTGTACTGGCTAACAATCAGTTGAGAGTCTGAGCAGGCGGCAATCTTTGTTGCCCCTGCTGCCTTACACATGCGTATACCAGCTAGTAGGGCTTCATACTCCGCCTCATTATTAGAGGCTTGGAACCGGAACCGTAGTGCATACTCAAACTTATCCCCTTCCGGAGAATGACATATAACGCCTGCACCACAGCCGTTCACCGTAGAGCTACCGTCTACGAATAACTTCCAAACCTGATCAGGATTTTCCGGTTGCACCGGCCTAGTCATCTCGACAATGAAGTCGGCAAACGCCTGACCTTTCACTGCCCGCCTGGGTTCAAAAGTTATCTCAAGGCTTTGTATTTCAACAGCCCACTTGATCATTCAGCCGGATGACTCGATGGTGGTCATTGGGCGCTTGAGCGGCTGGTCTGTATATACAATCACCGGGTGAGCCAAAAAGTAAGGTTTCAACCGTTTGACTACGACGAATAGGGCCAACCCAAATTTTTCGATCATGGGGTACCGGAGTTCAGCATTCTTAAGCACATGGCTGATGAAATACACCGGTAACTGATTACCGTCTCTCTCAACGAGGAGAACGGCACTAAGGGCATGATCAGAGACGGCGAGGTACATGTAAAGGACCTCCCGGGGCAGGGGGCTCACTAGCCTTGGCAACGAATGCAGATGTTGCTTTAGCTTTTGGAATGCCATTTCCGCCTCTTCTCCCCACTCAAATCTGGACCTCTTCCGGATGGCCTGGAAGAAGTAGAGGCACTTGTCACCTGACCGGCTGAGAAATCTTCCCAACGCCGCCAGGCAACCGGTCAATTTCTGGGCTTCTTTCACAGTGCGGGGAGACCGCATGTCAATGACCGCCTGAACTTTTTTCCGGGTTAGCCTCTATGCCCCTTTGATCGATAAAAAATCCGAGGAACTTCCCAGACTCAACACCAAATACACACTTCTTTGGGTTAAGCATGACCTGGTGCCGCCTGAGTGTGGTGAATGTTTCTCGGAGGTCTAGCAGGTGATCCGTCTGTAGCTTGGATTTAACTATCATGTCATCAATGTACGACTCTACATTCCTGCCAACCTGATTGATGAAAACGGTGTTTATCATGCGCTAGAATGTAGCCGGTGCATTTTTTAACCCAAATGGCATCACCTTGTAACAAAATAACCCTTGATCAGTGACGAAGGCCGTCTTCTCTTGATCTTTTTTCCATAGGGGTATTTGGTGGAAACCTGAGTAGGCATCCATGAAACTCATCAGAGCATGACCGGCTGTAGAGTCGACCAGATTGTCGATCTTTGGAAGCGGGTAAATGTCCTTTGGGCATGCTCTGTTCAGATCTGTGTAGTCTACACACATCCGCCAGGCACCATTCGACTTTTTCACGAGGACAACGTTTGCTACCCAATCCGGGTAGTAGCATTGCCGGATGAACCCAGCATCTAACAATTTTTTGACCTCAGCCGCTGCCGCCTGAGATCTCTCTGCACCGTGATCCCTCTTTTTCTGCCTGACCGACTTCTTTTTAGGATCCACGGCAAGCTTGTGGACAGCTAGATCCGGGCTGACGCCTGGCATCTCCTCCACTTCAAAGGAAAAGATGTCTTTGAATTCTCTTAGAAGTTGGAGCAAGTCTGCTTCCAACTGTTCATAAGCAATCGTCCCAACCTTGACAGTTCTGTCAGGACGGCTGTCGTCGAGGACGACATCAATGCAGTCACCAGATGGCTGAGGTCGTTGATCATCTGACCTTTCCCTGGCTAGTGATTGCTATTTTTCTTGCTTGACGGGATCCGTCTGGCCCACCTTTCTTTTCTTACCGGCTGCCCTTGGAGCCGGGACTGCCGCCATGGTAGGTCTGACGTCAGAGAGATAGCACTCCCTAGCCGTCCTCT